GAAGAGGAGTTCACCGACGAAGATTGCAAAAAGATGGAGCTCAACGCAAAGGCAATAAACATGATTTATTGCGGTGTTAATGCGGATGACTACCGCAAAATCTCGCGGTGTGAAACCGCAAAACAAATGTGGGAGAAATTGGAGGTCACCTACGAAGGAACCGCGCAGGTTCGGGAGGCCAAAATTGACCATCTCACTCACGAGTATGAACTCTTTTCAATGAAGGAAAATGAGAAGATTGAGGAAATGTTTGAGAGATTCTCTAACATCATCAATCCTCTCAATCTTCTCGGGAAGACATACACCGACCGAGAGCTCATGAGAAAGGTGCTGCGAAGCTTATCCCCCAAATGGCGTTCAAAGGTGGACGCAATCGAAGAAGGTCGTGACTTCCAAACAACGACCTATGATGCTTTTCGAGGTAATCTTATTACCTACGAAACCACACAACTCTCAAAGGTGGTTGAAGAGAGGAACAAGAGGTCTATTGCTCTACCCGCAACAACATCAACCCACAACAACGTTGATGATGAAGATGATGACAACGACGACACCGACCTCGGACTCTTTGTCCGAAAATTCAAGAAGATGATGCTCAAGAAGGGAGCCAAGAAGAACACTCCACCCAAATGCTATGGGTGTGGTGAAATTGGACACATCAAACCAATGTGTCCAAAGCTCAAGAACGAGAAGGACAAGAGGGCACCGAAGAAGCAACGTGCCTACATTTCTTGGGAGAACGACGGCTCCGAGAGTGAAGGCTCGGAAACGAAGGAAGTGGCCAACTTGTGTCTCATGGCCATTGAAGATAGTGATACATCAAAAGAGGTAAGTGATCAAGAACCTTCTCCCAATGATCCTTTAACTCTTAATGATGTTGTTTGCATTGTAGAAGAATTGGTAAGAATCTTCAAAAAGGCTTCCAAAGAAAACAATGAAATAAAGCAAAAAATCCTGATTTTTGAGAATGAAATCAAAGAACTCAAAAATATAAGTGACAAACTTAAACAAGAAATTATCTCTTTTGGAAAAAGGCCACAAGAACCTTCAACTACTTCTTCTTCTACATGCTCTAGTTGTACATCACTAAAAGCTAAGGTTACTAGTTTAGAGAGCAAATTGGGAAAATTCAATAATGCTTCAAACACCTTAGATAAAATACTTAAGCAAAAAGTTAGTAATGGTGAAGGACTTGGATATAAGAAAAACCAACCTAGAAAAGCAACATTTGTTAAAGCTAGGGGGAATAAAAATGCTAGGATAAATAATCAAACTAGAAAAGCACATCTTAGCAAACCTAGAACTCATTACACTCAACCATATAAGATGAATAATCCAAATGTTATTTGCCACTATTCCAATAAGATATGTCACATTGCACCCGTGTGCTTCACCAAAATTAGGCATTTTCAACAAACGCACACACATCGCACATATGCTAACCAAAAAGGACCCAACAATACATGGGTACCTAAACCGTCTCCTTGATATCTTTTTGTAGGTGTGCTTGAAGGCTTCCTCTTGGTATCTCGATAGCGGATGCTCCAAGCACATGATCGGAGACGCATCCAAATTTAGGAGTTTAGAGTATTTCAAAGGTGGCAATGTCGTTTTTGGTGACAACAACAAAGGAAGAATCATTGGAAGTGGCACCGTCGGAAAGGACAATGCTACAACCGTTGAGAACGTTCTTCTTGTTGAGGGCCTCAAGCACAATCTTCTTAGCATTAGCCAATTGTGCGATAGAGGTAACTGTGTCATCTTTGATTCTAGAAAATGCATTGTAGAACGCTTGTGTGACAATAAGACTATTCTTTGTGGCAGTAGAGTAGATAACATTTACATGTTTGATCTTGAAAATTCCCCGTGTACTTTAGCTAAGTGTCTCATTACCAAAGAGGAAGAAACGTGGCTATGGCATCGTCGGATAGCTCACGTTAATATGGACCATCTTAATAAGTTGGTTTCAAAAGACTTAGTAATTGGTGTTCCTAAACTTAAGTTTGAGAATAATCTAATTTGTGATGCATGTCAAAAGGGGAAGCAAGTAAGGGCCTCGTTTAAGTCAAAAAACGTTATTTCTACGACTAGGCCATTACAACTTTTGCACATGGACCTTTTTGGACCTTCAAGAATTATGAGTTTAGGAGGTAATTACTTCGGATTTGTTATCGTTGATGATTATTCGAGGTTTACATGGACACTCTTTCTTGATCATAAGTATGATGCACTTAATGCTTTCAAGAAATTCATTAAATTGGTTCAAAATGAAAAAGACTCTCACATTGCATCCATTAGAAGTGATCATGGGGGAGAATTTGATCAAGACGGCTTTGATGTCGTTTGTGACGAATTAGGTATTGAGCATAATTTTTTAGCCCCCCGTACACCACAACAAAATGGCGTGGTTGAACGGAAAAATAGGTCTCTTGAAGAGATGGCTAGAACTATGCTCAATGAGGCAAACCTACCTAAATACTTTTGGGCGGATGCCGTGAGTACCGCGTGCTACGTGTTAAATCGAGCCGTCATTAGACCGATACTCAAGAAAACGCTCTATGAACTTTACAAAGGAAGAAAGCCTAACCTCTCCTATTTTCATGTCTTTGGATGTAAAGTTTTCATTCATAATAATGGAAAAGATAACTTGGGAAAATTTGATGCTAAGTCGGATGAAGGAATTTTCTTAGGTTATTCTCTTCGTAGTAAGGCATATAGAGTGTTCAACAAGCGTACTAAGACCGTAGAGGAGTCTATTCATGTTGTCTTTGATGAATTTGATGCTCGCTTGGCGAGAAAAGGTATTGTTGATAATGTTGCAGGTTCTTATGATGATGAAGAAGAAATCGTTAAGGAAAAGGAA